CTTTTTTCTCTCCACCAGCGGCTTTTTTTAATTGGAAACCATCAGGTTCAGTTGATTTAAAAAGTAATGTCTATAGTAAATTATGTGCGTATTGCCAAGTATGTAAGTAATTCGATCAATGTAAGACGTGGAAACTTAATTTTAGTACACTAGTGTCTGCGTTGTGAAAATAAAATGAAATGAATGAATAAAAGAAGGGTAGGTATTGATCGTAACACAAGGCAAACAAAATAGGACCAATTATATTCTCTCGAAAGACCGTGTTTCATCTTGTTTCGAGCCATCGGCTAATTTTCAATAATTTGATTCAGATAAATATAGAAACGCTAACATGCACATCATTTAATTTTTATCTTAGATCAAAAGAAAAATGAGCCTATTATCATTTAATGACATATATATTTTTCCAACTCAAATTATATGGCATATTTTTTTTATTAGCTACTTTCCCAATTAAAAACATTATCTTACTTTTAGAATCGATTATAAGCTTGCCTACCAAGTTGCCAGAGCTATTTGTTTCCTCCAGGATATAAAGTGATTAAAAAACTCTCTTTTTTCCTGTATTGATTGAATGATGTTTCTACAGGTATTTCTCTTCAAACGCTTTAACCTTCTTACCAGAAGGACTGTTTGCCAGCTTAACACAAATGGAGGCCCTGTAAGTGAAATGGAATATAACATTTGCCTTTAGCAGAAATGTTTGTCTTGTCATGACATTGCTTTTTACCACAATTTTTATTTACTAGTCTTCCCTTTTATTTCAGATTTTTCTCGTTAACCTAAAATCTTACACGTGAATTAATAAATCCCACTGGAATTAGATGAAAATCTTCGTGTCATGGTCGAATTATGCCTTCATGTCTATTTTTTTGGTTGTTTGTTTATTTTTCAACTTACCCAAACACAGTCTAGTTTTTTCATTTGGAATATACTTAGAATAGATTACAATATATCATGCTATTTTCATCTCTGTTTTCCCCTAGGACTTAAACTGGTGGAATTATCTTTCTAGGATTAATGAATTATTGTTTCCATAGGGGTCTATCTTCAAACGCTATTGTATCCTTACCAGAAGGATTGTTTGCTAAGCCAACTCGGTTGCTTTACCTGTATGTAAATGGGAAATATTTATGTCAAAACATTCACATTTCAAGTTTACTGATACGGCTAAATTTTTTATCGTTTCCCTTCAAACACTCTCTCTTCGCCTAACTACGGGCGCAATGAGGCAAACACGCTCATTGTTAAATCATGAGAAGTCCAAGTGCGCATTAAGATTATATATCCTGCATCAAACGCGCAGGAATATCATGGCTAACTAAGCGCAGTGCAACGGGGTGAGCGCATCGGATGCACATCTTCCGGAGCTTGTGCATTTGAATGGTTAAAGATTTGACCACCTATCGGTTTTTTAGACAAATCGTGTGGGCAATGCAGATTGCCGAGGACGTACGGAATTACTGTCGTAACGTTAAAACATCACAATCAAAATTTTTGGCTTGAATGGTCAGCATATTTTCTTAGGTATCGGCGTCGCTAGCGCGCTTCACGCGTGGGAACTTATTCTAAATTGTTAGAACCGCACTTCACTCATTCATGTATTAATCTGTAAATGCTTTATAGGGATTTGTCTTCAAACGCTATAACCTTCGTAACAGAAAAACTGTTTTCCAAGTTAACAGTGCTTCATTACCTGTACGTGAAATAGAAAATAACCTCAGAAATTATTCTCGTGGCGGCATCGTTTAATTTCACTTTGATTTCTTTCTCGAGAGCCTGAAAAAGATTGTACTCTGTACAATTATGTAATGTAGATGGACCTGCATGCGCTAGACAAAAACAATAATTAAACGGTAGTGATTGTGAACCCGGACTGAAACCATCGTTCCCTCCGATCAAACCGCAATATATCCAGCTCGAGCCAGCTAGGAGCTATCTCTTGAAGGGATAAAACGTAGAGTTCTGTTTCCGTGTTACGAAGCAAGATTCTCTTTGTTTCGGTTTAGATTGCTCAACGGCAACCGTTTACGACGTATTCCACATCGAGCGTTTGCTACCATGAAAGAACTGAAGATAATGTAAGTATGGACGAATGGACCATTTGCCAAAATCTAACAAATACATCCTTTACTTATCATACGTTTCTCTTGCTTTAATTCTGAATGCCACTGAATAATGTTAACATGCAGTTGATATGCACCCATGTGGACAGAATGCATAATCGAAGAATTCGAACCAGAACGTTGATATAATCGAGGTAATCCGAGCAACTCAAGAATTATCACAGATTATTTTTGTACCACACAACATATAACGAACCCCTCGGGTAAAATAACGAGATAACCAGATTGCTATAAATCATAGAGCTAGCTCGGAAAAAAATTATTGCATGGTCCATAAACATATCTAAGTATTTACCTCATCCATCCCTCTTTTATTTCCAGAGCACTTTCTCAGAATCCCATAGAGACAATTGACCCACAAGCGTTTCATCTAGGTGGCTTCTCTGATTTCAGATTGTAAGTTTTTCCACCAAGCAGCATTGTTTTGGGTGATAGGGAAAACGTTCAAGAAAAACTTATTAGACATGAGTTATAAGATATATGTTTACTATGTTGAGTGGAGGAATGTCGACCTCCTACTGAGGGGGGGGAGGTGTGCCAACTACTTTTGTCACTTATTTTAGTTGTACTGCTTATAGTTTCTTAGAAAAACGAGATAAAAACCTCCATAGGGTAACTCAAGGATGTACTTAGATACTCTGGCGTGTCCCTTGAAATAATCCCGACAAAAGAGCACAATTAATGATTAGAAACAAAATTTGAGTTTGTGATCACTTAGTGGACATGCATGCCTTCCAGTTACCATGCTTCCTGAATGAAATTAAATTAAATGAACATGTTTGAGATCAAATCTAACAAACTTAAACTTACCGTCTAAAAGCTACGTCAGACCATGCGTCACTTCTGTGTAACTATGCGACCGCTCATCTGTGACCGCACGCGAAAAGAGCACTAGGACCGAGGCTGCCAAAGAGCAATCTGGTTCCTTGACTTCTTACACTCATAAGTAAAAAAAGTAAGTTTCTAAAGAAACTGTGGTACTGAGTTTCAAAGCTAACGTTTCAAGCATTAACCTTTCATCAGCTTTGTAGCTCTTTACGGTGGCCAATTTACGCTATCAACTCAGTTGACATGGTTGATGATACGAAATTACCCTGTTAAACATTATTTTGATTCGATTTTATTAAAAATTGATTTTGAAACATCGTATATGCGGAGTAATACCTTCACAGAAACTTCTTTTAGATTCTGTATCTAGACTCAAATGTCTTCAACAAATTTAGCCTTTTTTAAGAAACTAATTGTTGTGTTTTAACAGATTTCTTTTAGGAACGAAATTGAAAAGATTTAACTCTGACAGTTTTATGAAGCTCAAAGTTGAAGATTTTAAGCTGTTAAGTATCACGCATTTTCTAAAATTTTTGGGCCGTATGTTTTGAAAGCCTATATTTATGACAAAGGCATTGAACTGCAGTCGAACCTGTATTAACCGGTCACCCACGCGAAACGGCAAGCCGACTACTCAATATAGGTTTACCGCCTCGTACAAGTTCCTCTGTAAGGAGGTGTTATAAAACGATTGAAAACGCCATTTCATGCCGTAAGTTACCGCTTATGTACAAGAACAAGAGCCCATCATGGGCTCCTGACAAAAACTCGCTCAAAAACACTGATTTCGAGAGATAAACATGGATTAATAAATGTACTTAAAATCTTTTTTCGGTTGTACTTAAGTGGTTCCGCTTTAACTGACCGTTCAATACAGGTGGAAGACAATACAAACAGGCCTGTAGGATTCAGTAAAAGGGTGACTACGACTTTCGGGACTTTGACAACCGACCGCTCAATACAGAGCGACCGCTTAATACGGTGCCCTTTAATACAGGTTCCACTGTACAATCGTTTTGTGCAATTTTTGATGGACACTTGTCTGTTGCCAACAGCCTTCACGTAAAATCTGTCTAATCACATACGTAGCTCCCTCAACCCGACTGATCTCTGAAAAAAGGTTGAGAGGATCGCTGCACTAACCCACTCTTGCGCATAATTTTCTTTTAGTAATTCGTGGACAAGAATTCCTCGGATTATAAAATACCGTCGTTGGGACAAAGTCAGGAACTCGACGACCTTGGAAGTACACCTGTAAGGATGTTGTCATGGTTGTATGAGTCAGATAAACAAATAAACAAATGACAATATCAAAAGTTTTCCTGCAGATATGCGAACACCCAGACAATGTCATCTTACTCAACACAAAGGCAGTTTAGAACGGTGAAAATAGGAATCAGTTATGGTGGAAATGAATAGAATATATTGTATTTTGCAACGTGTAGTTAAATTTTTTTTGTGTGCGATACATTGGTGTGCGAAAGTATTTGGTCGTTTCTGATTAAAATCAAGATATTTGTAGACGAAGCAAACTTCACAACAGCCCACATACCTCGCAGTGTTAATACAGCGTTATAGACAAATGAGTCGTCTCTTCTTTTTTCCTCCTAAATATGCTAAAAAGAAAAATATTATGTGGTCAAATTTCCTCTTAAAAGCCGCAATTTCCTGTCAAAGGGCGTTATTGATACTATGTCCATCAATTATTTCAACTCATTTCGCATTTCAGGAGAATAATTTGGCCCACAAAGTAAACTACTGGGTCCACCAGTAAATGTGATAGCCATTGAAGTCTATTTATCAACTTATAATTTTGTGTAAAAAAAAAATATTCTAACTGGCTGCTCTGTTGCTCTCACGAACCCAGGAAGACCTATGCGTTTCGAAGTTGCTTGCTCTTGTTCCAAAGTCTCCACGCTTATCTTAATAAATCATTGATGGTAAATAACTTTCTGTCCCAGGAATCCTGCCGATCAAAGCGGAGAAGCGATCAAAGTCCATCAAGATTTTGAGAACACTTATTGGTTTCGCATTCTTCAGCCCACTATGTTGACCATGGGCTTTACGAAAACTGCCTTTGGTTCTGACATGTTATTTCTGCCATGTCCTTTGGGGACGTTCTCAAATTCTTCCGTACCAAAACATGACAAGTGCACAGAATGTCCACCAGGTATTTTATCAAGTATAATTCATTGTTAGGTAATCAACCTTCTCTAAACGGCCACTATAGAAAATGAAAATGTGTTTTCCTGCTAAGAGACCCACAAGAAGAAGATGCTCAGTTTACTGAAATATTATACCATCTGAAGTGTCTACACATACACCAAACAGCGAAAAGTCAATTGTGTCACTTGTGACAGAGATTTTATAAAGATAATAACCAAGAGTATTTTTGAAGGTTATATTCACAGGATAATGACATCTTTTATTAGGTGGTTTCTACTCTGATACTCTTGCTTACGTGGCGGAAGGCTGCAAGCAATGTCCAAATGGATCGTATGTTCCATTTGAGAAAAAACCTGGCAAATCAATACTGGAATGCAAGGCGTGCCCACTCGGTAAGTAATTTAAAAACAAAATAATTTTAAACAGCACTATTTTGTGCAAAGAGTTTTGGCCGTGATAGGGGAAAGAGTGGTACCGAGGCCTGCTCCCTGTAAGTTCCAGATCGTTGACGATAAGGACGCCAAATATCAATGGAATAATGTACTCATTATTTGTATCAAGGGGAGCGTTACTACTTCACTCTGCCGCTTTTTTGGTCAAGAAAAAAAAGCAGAAACATAAAGATTTATCTTTTATCTGTTTAGCCTTGAACAACAATGATCATTTTTAAGAAGAACTGTAAATGAAAGTAAAAAATTTGACGAATGTAATTTCAATACAAGTTGACTCGCTTGGAAAACACACTGACTTAATTTTCATTGGATTTAACAGGAACGGAAAGTGACTTTTTTGCTGGATATCGTGCTTGTCCTTGTTTGGAAGGATTTTATCGAACCCATCTATTTTCTGGATGTCGCAAATGTGAAAAATCTGGCGGACTGGTTTGCCAGGATGAATATGCCTCATTAAAACTTGGATATTGGTGGGAGTGGCGTAATGAGTCATACAAACTTCGCTACCAGGATTTCATAAAGAATCTTTTGGCTTCCTCTCCAGAGTTAGATGATTCTTCCGTACAGTACCCGCATGCGATACCAGCACCATACAGGTGCCCAGTAAAAGAGTCTTGCAAAGGTGGCCTGGACTCCCCATGCGAAGATGGATACGAGGGTCCGCTTTGTGCAGTTTGTTCTTTAGGGTACTACAAGCAACTGGAGTCTTGCGCGAAATGTCCCTCAAAGACGTGGATTGTGGCACAGTTTTCGATCATCTTTGTCATTATAATTCTACTTGTTGCATTTTTGATGTGGAAGAGGAAGGCAACGTTATCAAAGGACCGAGGCCAGTATCTGATAGACATGTTTTTATCCAAGCTTAAGATAATAATCGGTTTTTACCAGGTCACGCACGGCTTATTGACAGTATTCTCGTACATCGAATGGCCAGAGTCACTGCATGTTGTTTCCACTTATTCCGGAATACTTCAAATGAATCTGCTTCAGATCGCACCCATTCACTGTTTATCATCAGGGCTACGCGTGAACGTCTTTGGAGAACTGCTCCTGATATTAACTGTGAATGTCACTGCCATTGGTGTAACAGGTTTTGGTTATATTGTGTTTAAGACAATAATTGTGAAAAATCACAACCTCAACGACAAAGAAAAGTCGACCAAAATCTCGGAAACGAAACGCCTGTTTTGTAAGAATTTGTTTTTCTTCCTGTATGTGACATATCTGGGTACTTTTTCCAAGACAGTCAGCGTTTTGCCACTAGCTTGCCGAAAAGTCTGCCGGGACGACGAGGAAGAGTTGTGTAACATGTACGCCAAAGCAGATTACAGCTTAAGATGCCAAGGAGCCACATATGACTATTGGCTTGTCTTGGCATACATTTCAACCGCGTACGTAGTTGCCTTGCCCGTTGCCTCGTTAACTGTACTTTGGAGGCAGAAGAGAGTGATAGTATCTAAAATAGACAATGATGGTGGCTTTGGCATGGAAACAATTGAAGGGTTGAGGTTCCTCTTCGAAAACTACAAGTCTGAAGCATGGTATTGGGAACTGGTTGAAATGTCGCGTAAAGTCGTTCTTACTTCTGGTGTCATTCTTGTCGGACAGGAAAGTAGATCCTACATTGGCCTCACTTGGGTTGTTGCAGGCATGTTTGGAGTACTTTTCTGCTGGGTGAAACCGATCAAAGACGCTTCTGAGAACTTGTTGATGTCGGCTTCCCTGGCTGTTACAGTTGTAAACCTGGGCATTGGCGCTGTAAGCAGAATCCCAGCAGAGAATGTATCAAACATAGTGGATAAACACAAAGACGTAATAGCAATGAAAATACTTATACTTGGTGCAAATACTCTGGTGATTGGCCTAATTATTGGTGAGTGATGCTGAGAGGTAAACTGTTGTTATATCAACTAAACATACGGAACCCCAAAACAGCCGAGTGACATTCTGTTCCGTTGCTTGCTTTTAGGAGAGGGGATAACTTTTTAATCAGCACGACTTCAAATTTCAAGGATAAAACATTGATAATTTTATTGCCTTTTTATTCTAGGATATCAAGTGAACAGCAGTTAAACACTTAAAAATTAGAATAGGAGATAAACATTATTAATTTTTCTAACTCTTTACTTTAGCACAAGATAATTAGGAAAAGAGGCAAACAAAGGCGCGGAACGTTGCCAAACAGCCCCCATGGAAAAGCCTCTGCGCTGATAACAAACTGTTTTAAAATACATCGTAGTTCAATACACAATCATTTTGAAAGACACAAGTTGATTTTATCACTATTTCAGTGCAATACTTGACGTTTTTGTACGAGTACTACAAAGAGTGGCGCCAAAACCCGCAGTGGTCTGTTTCTTGTTGTCTGGCTCTGCTTCTCCCTCTTGATGATTTGCAAGGAGAAGTTCATGGTATGACTGGTGATAACTTGATGAAAACCCAGATTGACACAGGGAGGACGGAGAAGCCGTCGTTTGCTGCCACTGTGAAAGACAGCGGAGCTTTAAGTTTCACTCTTTGCTGCGAAGATGTCGAAGGAAACGATGATGAAATCAGGATGGAATATAATGAGCCAAACGTTGAAGTTGTTGACTACACCAACAACAGATGTCATCGTTGGACACAAACGAAAGTCTTTGTCTTACCGTTTGTCTCAAACGCGAAACTTGGGTCTTTGGAAGATAACCAACAGCGATATAAGTGAGTAGAAGGAAAACTTTAAAATTGTGATTAAATAATGTAAAGAAAACCGTACAACCAAATCCGTAAAAACTACCTTACAAGGAAATTCCGACGAACTATAACCTTTTCAGCTACCAAGTTGAAATGATAATACTCTTTCTGATTTGAAAAAAATTAACTTGAGCTTAAGCCTGAAACAAAAACCTTGCATCACCCATCACCCCCCCCCCCCCACCGCAAAAAAAAAAAAAAAAAAAAAAAAAACTCACTATTAACAACCTTTGAATAACCACTTCATCTAGTCACCAGACTCCTGGAAATAAGAGAGCTCTTGCTGACGCTGCAGAGAGTGGTGTATCAACTAAGCAGAAGATATGCATGAACAAGAAAAAAGACAGTAACGAACCAGCAGAGCAGAAGAAATACAACGAAGAACGAGGCAGCGAGTCAAGATTATGATTGACACCTGAGTTGTATATAATGTGACTGTTGGCTGTGCTACAACCCGCTTAATTTACGGCAGAACCAGATAGAAACAAACATGGCAGAACTATTACATTTCTTATGCAGATAGTTTAGGCGAGTACTCATATGAACTTTGTTTTATGATAAAGAGCTGCGAAAATGAAAATTTCGTAATCAAAAGTAGCCTTTAATGTTTACAGTGCATATATTATACGGCTGCATCACATGATATAGTATTTACCACTTTATTCAAAATCACTCAGGTTTCCTTATCTATTGCCCTTGCATTATCCTGTTTTAAATCGTTCTGAAGTTGTTCGGAACAAAACGTCTGCTTTTTTTTGTGGAAACAATTCAGGAAGTTGAAAAGAGCAAATGTATACAATGGTAGATAAATGGGGTAAATACGATATATAACTTAACACTGTTATTCAACAAAGCCACCTATTAAATAACATGCTGAGATAGAATCGAAAAAAAAAACGTGAAATAAAGTATACCAGTAATAGTCAATTAGACTTTCTTTTATCTTCAGCTACAAGTGTTAGATAGCAACAAGTTCGAGTAAATATATGAGCCAGATACATATGCATTATATGAACTGCGCACTTAGTATATGTGAGTAATGGGTTCTATACGATTTATGGCAAGGCATTGTTTCACAACGAAGCCAAGCATCGAATGAATGATGAGTAATATATAGTCGTTAATTTATCTCCAGATTCAAGTCTTAGATAATAACATCAAGATCGAGTTAATAAATGAGCGAGATACATATGCATTATCTTACCTGTGCACTTGATATTTGCGTGTATTGGGGTAAATATGATTTGTGGCTGAACGCTGTTATAGAAAGAAGCCACTTTATAAACAACATGCTAATGTAGCATGTTATAATAGTCATAAAGCTCCATGATTGTCTTCCTAGTTTTTCTAGTTATTATTATTTCAATTTTGGCGTTAATTTTTTTGTGTGTTTTGCACCTTGCCTGAAATCTTTTCCTCCTCGCCCTTACCCCCTCCCCCGTGAGTTTTTTAATTAGTCTGCGATATTTTGGTCACTTGGGTAGCTCTCACCCTTTAACTATCGCTTAGTTCTCATATCCAGACTCCTCGCAAAACGAGCCTTGAAAAAGACTGGGGCGGCAGATAATCTGCTCTTAAAAAGCTCCTTAGGTACAGGAAAGTAGATATTGGAACTGCCTTTGCATTGTAGAACCGAAAAAATGTTTCCTTCTCATATGTCTGTGAATGATCTGGGTGTATTTGCAGTGGTGATGGTTTTTGGTTTGTTGATTGTTCTTTTGTTCATGTTTGACTTCGTAAGTATGACAACTTTCCTTGCTAGCGTTGGTAGCGCGCGTGGAATATGTATTCACTTAATTCACTAAATGGCATTCAATTACAATATCGATTACTCCATTTCCCTCGAAACATTTGGTTTTTTTTGTTATAAGGGCTGTGCCTGTAAATTAGTGTATAGTCGTAGGGAGAATTTAGTTATCATTTCTTGTAAATCAATTTCGGTGCAATCAGCCGCGCTCCGTGTTCACAGCTACCACGAGCTAAGTGGTATAAATCAAAATTTTCAGATGCTCGCACAAATATTTGACCTTTGTGCAACTGCGGTTGCGGTTGCTCAATAAGTAGTGTTTGTGTGAGTTAGAACTGTCTGGGTCAAGATTCCTGCACCGCGCCATACTTTATTATGTATTCAGGTCTTGCAATAAGAAGACAATGGCGAAAACAATAGGTTACATTGGCTATGAGACTACGGCTTTAATTTGTTTCAGAATTGCGTGGGGTTATTCGGAAACCCTTCCTTTTCTTTCATGCTGGAATTGACGTTGAATTTATATTTGGTCTATAGCGCTTTAGAGTCTTCTGAAAGAAATTAATAACTGCAATACGCTCACATAATTATCCTTTAAACAAAATAGACTTGGAAAGATTTCCATGCATGTAACCCCTACACTACTGTAAAAAAATGCCTTGGTCCCAAAGGCAATCTTTTGTTTTTAACATTGTCTCTGGTAATCAAGGATTCTAGGCATGATTAAGTATTGGGCTGTGCAGAAATCCTGTCCTAGACTGGGGATATAAAAAAACCTTATTCCTTTTTAATCTGAGTTATGGTAAGAAATTGGAAGGGTATGTGTAGAATATACCACTCACATTAATACCCCTTCTTAGTTAATAACAGGACACTAAGTTATTTCTCTTATAAGCACAGAAAACCCATTTGTCCATTAAGACTAAGGTAATACATTTACATAGAGGTACTAAAGGAGGGGTGGGGTTGGGGGAGGGGTCCTTATCCCATTTCACACACAACTTTTAAAAACATATCTTTCTTAAACGGTATGTCACACTTTACAAATCTAAAGAGAAAACTTCAAATCTCTCCTTACCTTGTATTTCAGAACACTTCATGCATCACATATTCATTCTGGGCGTAATCATATGTCACATTTAAACCCTTTGCACTCTTGGCAGTGTTTCAGCTGGAATATTTTACTTGAGGGCCAGAGTGGTCCCTGAAGACCATTTTTAGGGAGGAACCTTTTAAGAAAGGGGCCAAGAGGCTCTGTAAAGGCACTTAAAGTCCAATATCTTGGATAGCACAATGCCTTAACTCTCAGTTTAGTTGTCTTTGGGAATTAATTCTTCTCTGTGAAAACAATTTTCATTGTCCATTACAGAGGGGTACATCAAAAGGCCCATCAATTCCAGGAGAGGAACCATCAGACCCAGAGTAAGTAATTTGATAAGTACTCACATTTTCTGTGGAAGACATTTCTCTCCCCAGGGGTCAGGAGTATACACTCTGAAGTGTAGATTGAAAGGGTGTGTAAATCACCAAAACACACCTGCATGAAGATATGCCAAAGATTGCAACACAATGGCTCAGGGGTTTCATCAAGGTTTAGAGTAAGGGAAGGGGGGGGGGGCATCTGACTTTAGCAGATTAAATACAGATGAATACAATACAAACAAGCCATTGGCATTCAATCAAGGGTGACCTTGACCATGACCTCATGATAGAGGTGATATTACAGTAATTAACTGAAAACAATTTGGGACTTTTACAATCAACTGCTTAACACAGGGTGACCACTTTATACAGATTCAACTTTAATTACTTTGAATTCTTGTAAATAAATTTTTTTCTGAATTCTAAATTTCAAGGATGGGTAATCTGGGTGATATGGGAAAAGCAGGCAGCCTTCACCAGTACATGATGTTATTACATGAGAAGTATGGTCCTATAGCAGGATTCTGGTGGGCCAAACAATACGTTGTTAGTTTAGCAGCTCCAGAGTACTGGAAAGAAATAAAGTCAATCTTTGATAGACCTGGTAAGAAAGAAAAATTAAAGCTGAATCTCCTTGAACTGTTTAAAGGATTATTTTGATTATCCTTACTACATATGTGAACCCTAAACTCCCAAGATCTCATTAGAAATTCTCCTTACTGTCTGCTGTACTTTTTCATATCATGTTAGTTTGGGAAATTTGATATTTGATCAAGCAATAATCCCCTAAATGATATTAACTATTTACTAACTACATGTGAAGGCCATACTGGGGAATATTGGCCTGAGGTTGTGGCAATGCCAAAACAAACAATTAAGGGCCAACTTTCCCCAGTAACTCTTGAGCAAGCAAGGTTAGTAAGTAAAGGGGGTAAGTTTCTAAAGTTCTGTGGTGCTGCGTCAGTGGGAGAGTGTGACAAGGTAATTTGGTTTTATCAACTGAGTTGATAATATAAATTGGCCACCGTAAAAAGTTTCAAAGCTGATGTTTTGAACATAAGCTCTTTTTCAGACACTCTAAGGAAGAGCTAATGCTCAAAATGTCAGCTTTGAAACTGTTTACAGTGGCCAATTCATGTTATTAGCTCAGTTGATAAAACCAAATTACTAGGATAGTTTGTAGTTTATTACTAACAGTTGGCACTTGGACCAAACTAAATTATTTTAAATTTGTTGGCTTTTATGAACAAAAATACATGACTTATGACCCTTTCTGTGAAAATGATCCATATGGCAAAATATGAACCATTCAAGAACCCATCAGAAAGCCTGGATCTACCTCAGGACAGCCAAGCTATATGATAATCTTCTTTATTGTCATCACATGTCTTCTTGTTATTGAAAAGGAGAAATTCTGTCTTGGTCACTCTTTGGAGTAAGAGGGCTGAAATAACCTCAGTCTAATGTTTTTGCATAGAAATACAGCTGTTTTTGATATACATAGAAAGTTTTGTCACAAGATATTTCTAATTTACAAATACTAAGTTTTATTCATAATTGATTAACCTCTAAATAAATTATATTTTGCAAACAAAATCATATGGGACAAGTTCTGATGCATGCCATTCTTTCAAACAGACAAGATTAATTTTTTTCTTTAGGCATCAGTGCTTTTAGGAACACTTCAGTTATGTTATATTTGCAAAGTCAAATATTCTAGACCACCTTCTGATCTCCAAAACATTCATATGACATAAAGAAAATTTCTAGATGGAAAGGGACTCTGAAATTGTGAAAGATGCTGTACTTATTTCTCAGTTATATCAATGTTCTGTCCATGTTTCAGGGGATCTTTTCAGGCTGTTTGAACCGCTCATTGGCAAGAAAAGTATCCAGTATGCCAATGGTCCAGAAGGAAGGAAGAGAAGACAGTTGATGGACAGAAGTTTTAGTCATGAAGCTGTCAAGGACTACTATGATCACTTTGTCAAGGTTTCATACAATTTTTGCTTTGTTTGCATTTTGTTCAACATCACCAGACTCTTTTTTAAAATTTTTTTCTGCTCCATTGATGGAAGCAGTACCTACAAATTGGACTGCACATTACAATACTAATACAATTTATGATACAATTCTTACAGTAATGCCACTAATTATGTTCTCTTACTTACAATACTACTAATTGCTATAAGTCAGTTACAGAACTACTGTCCAACTAGATCTACTTAAAATATTACACTTTTGTGGTACTTTTCATTACTAATGAATGCTACTTAGACTATAATTATTACACTATCATGTGACATTGTATACATACTAAAAGCAAACAAACAGACAAAAAACTGGACATGTTTACACCATTAACATTACAATTCTTTTTTAATTAATCAAGTCAATAATTGTACTAGAACAGTTAGTATGCTGGACTCAGGGTCACAGTCCTTTGAGCACAATAGATAAATCCTGTCAATCTGTAGATCCCAAAATGAATTCTCCCCATTGTCTGCTCTGTATTTCTAAGTTTAACTGTCAAAATTTAATATTAAAAGAAACAATCCTTAGTTGAATTTTTCCTGTCTGAGGGGAAATTACATATTGATCACCCATGGCAAAGATGTAAAACTGAATCTTTAACTGTTGCCTAGCAGTTAGCGTGTCAGACTCTGGGTTGAGAGGTACAGGGTTAAGACAAGGTTTGAGGGTCATGCTCTTAGGGTTTAGGGTTAACCCTTTAACCCCTAGGAATGATAAGTATCTAATTTATCCCAACAGTATCAGCCTTAAATCACACTTTAAGGTCATGAGAATGAAGGAAATGTTCACCAACTAAAGGAGCCTTTGATTTTTAGACAAATTCTCCTGGTAAATACTATAGGAAATGTATAGAGAGCAGTATGGAGAATATGCATACTGATGCTGCTAGGGTGTGAATGGCTAACAAGACATATAGCTCTTGCAGTACCTGTCTCCACTCAGTGATGAAGATGGGTGAGAGGGAAATGTTCGGGAAGCCTGAAAAAAAGCTAGAAATTTCAGAATTATGAACTTTAATTAATTTATGAAGATTTTTCATTCCTTCAGATTGCCAAAGAGACAGCTGACAAGTTTGCTAAGGGTGGTTCTCAAGAACATATTCCTTTGGGGAAAAGTATGATTGCCATGGCAATCAAAGCCATCTCTGTTGCAGGAATGGGCCGTTCATTTATGGATGAAAAGGAAGTTGACAAGTTAGCCGCAGTATATGATGTGGTAAGACTTCTTTACGTATATAGTATGCTGTTGGACAGTATAAAGAAAAAAATCAAAGTTACCAGCTGAACTTTGTGTTTCATAGTGACTTAACCCTTTAACTCCCAGATCTGATTGTTAATTCTCCCTTCTAGCTGCTAAACATTCCCTGGTAAATTAGTTATAAGAATTTGGTGTTAAATTAAGATAACAACTTCTACCTGATAAGTTTGAATATTCTCATTACCCATTTGTGGGATAATGTATGGATATTGTGGGGAGAAATTCCATGTTAATCACTTCTGGGAGGTAGAGGGTTAATTCTAATTACTGCTTAGATTAACTTGAAGCAAGGTAGATTGATGGAGTGGAATTAGGAAGGGGTCATTACTTTACTTACTTGAGGCTAATGAAAATTTACAGCTCCCTGCTAAGAGTAAGTCTCATCACATCACATTGCAAACACTCACTTAGCTGCTGCTCCCTTGTCATGCCCACCTTAAAGTTTGTACAACTCACATGGTTGTCATGGCTGTGTTTACACTCAGATCCAACCATTGGTATCACCAAGTTCTCAGTTAGCTCTACCATGCTCATCTGCTGTCACGTAGTTTAAATACTTTTGAATTTCACTTGTAGTGGAAAAGTTCCCCTTGAGAAACTTAAATTGATGATGCATATTGTAAAGTTTTAAAGTTGTGTTAATGCGTTTGTTCTTCATAGTGCTGGGAGGAGATGGAGGAACGTCTCACATCACCTCCTCCTGGTCCAGACAGTGACAGAGAGAAAAACTTTCAAAAAGGTACAAGCACAATATTATCTGGTCTAATGTCTGGTGAATATAAAAATGTTGTTTTATTAACTTATCACAATTAACCTCTCATCCCCTAAGAGATGAAAGTGCTAAGGAAACTAGGAAGAAGTCTCAGAGTCAATGAAGTCTCACTAAGAGTGACCAGTATCTAAATTCTCCTTACAATATCACCCCTGAATCACACATTAAGGTCACAAGAATAAGGGAAATGATTAACTAAAGCAACTCTTGATTCTTACACAAATTCTCCTTGTCAGCCCCTTTGGAAATGTATAGAGAACAGTGTGGAGAATATACATACTGATGTTAGGCTGTAAAGGGATTTATTAATTTGCATGATGTCCTGATGGCAACCTTGATGAATTTTAGATTTTTCTTCTTTTCTCTCCATTGTTTTAACCCTATGTCACCGTAGATCTTAATGTAAATCTCCTCTCTGTCAGCCATATGCTCTCTATATCATTTAAGCTCAGAGAATTTAGTGCAAATTAAACTTTATCCTCTCGACGATTTTTTTCTCTCTTCTCATTGCCATTCTGCTTGAAAATGGGTGGATGTGGTAAGGAGAAATTCTTTCTTGGTCGCCCCTGGGAGTGAAAGGGTCTACCATTGTGTAGTAATTTCTGGTGTGGTTTTTGTGTAAGTATAAATATTCCTTTTAGTTTATGGAAATTCTTCCTCTTGAGTGTACATTTTCCAATTATTTTCAGCCCGAGCTGAGATGCAGAAACTTGTCAGAGACCTCATTAGAAAGAGGCGTCAGGACACAGAAAAAGCTGAAAAGTTATTCATTGACTCCATGTTGGATAATGACTTCATGGATGAAGAGGAGGTAACTAATTTAACCTTGTATCTAATGACTATTACCTCACATTAATAATTCAGGAGAGGCAGCAAAGGGTGTGCCTTTTGAGCTGTTTTTGTCTGTTAGGGTATGGGTCAAGGTGTAGAGCCCCAGGTTACCTTGTGAGTGGAGTTTTGGGGTTCAAGCCTCAGACCAGACCAACTCTTACGGTCTTTAAATAACTGTCGAGAATCAGCTGCCTTAGCTATGACATTCTCGTGCTCTCTGATAAGGACAATTAACTGTAGGCCCTGTCACACATCTTCAATGTACTAGTTAGCAGGGGACATTAAACAACTCACCCACTTCTCACAAAGAGTAGGGAACATAGCTCCCAGTGATGTGGTCTAACTAAACCTTTAAATTGATTATAAAGGCCCCCATTTAAACCAGCTGTAAGCTGAACTGAGCCAGCCTGTTTTGATATGGCAAATATATAAATAAATAAATTAGTCATAGCAATCTCATCACTGATGTGGTGTACAATTATTTGTTTAATATCACAATTACTTTTTTGCTTCTTGTGTGGCTTGTATCACACTGTTCCTTATAAATTTCTTACAATACTGCAGGCAGGATTTGCTTCAAACTAACAAGCTTCTCACTATTTCCATTAAATTCATGAACTTAATGTTTGATTCAGAGATTCTTTAGTTGGTGATCATTTCAGTCCTTTATTCCTATGACCTTAAGATTTGACCCAGGAGTAATTAGATGCTAGTCACTCTTAGGAGTGAAATGTAAATACTTGCATCTTTTGAATGAAAGGATGTGAATAAGAAACAAGCTTTACTGGTTGATGTGATTAAAATTTTATCCTTAGTCTTCATCCTAACTTGGAGAGTACTTAATGGTGAATTTTTCAGAAACTTCAACTAAAATTAATGATGGTTTTCATATGTATGTTCTTCTCTCCTTTATAGATTTGTGACCATGTTATAACCTTTCTTATCGGAGGATTCCATACCACAGGAAACAGTGAGTTCATATTGTTTATGATCCATCAATTGCGCTTGTGCATGTTTGGTCTCAACACGTCATGTGACCAAATATTCCCCAGTTAAAACAGGGGGATATCCCAGGATATCACCTAAGTGATATTCCCCAATTTTCAAACCTTACATCCACTATGATAAGTGTTCATTTAAAATTTAATCCAAGATGAGAGAGTGATTTATGGTTGTTACAGACGAAAGAAATATTTGTTTGTTCAGAGTCGTACCAAAGAATACTCAAAAGAAAATATCCCATATCATATGACATCCAGATATCATCTTTGTGTCCGAATGACAGTCTGTCATGTTTTTAATTCCACACTGTTGCGACCCTACTCATTATAATAGATGGTCACTTATTACACATTCACTTTGAGGTGGCTCTTAGCAGAGTGTGAACTTAAAACAAGATGCTGAACAATCAGAGGGTTTCCATAACTTTTTCCATGAGCGGCTGTCAGTGGTTTAATTGAAGACCGTGTCGGAGAAAGCTTAAAATGAGAGACTACTCACTGGCTAAACAGATGGCAGTGAGAAGTCTTATCGGCAAAAGTAGACCACTGGAAACTGGGTTGTGAACAATTGATTTTAGAGGCCACTAGATAGGTGCATTTTCCAATGAGAGCAAATCTCTGTGTGAAGCAAAGAAGTGAAAAAAAAATTGTAAACAAAATTGAACGCTGGAAATGATCCCAATTAAGGAATTGATACACCAGCCTTAGAAAGGGTTAGAATTTGAGTATAAATTTTTTTTCTCCAACAGTGATGATTTGGTGTTTGTACTTCCTGACCAAACATCCAGAGATCCAAGAAAAAGTTTTTGCTGAACTGGAAGAAGTTCTGGGACAGGAGGACATCAAACCTCAAGTAGTGACAGAACTGACGTAAATAAAAACGTTTCTTTTATGTTAATGTAAAATAACTTACAGATGGCTCTAAGTAAGAGATGAGTATTAGACATTTTTTTTATTCCTCATTTCTCTTGCTTTTCCTAGCCCTTTACACCTAAAATCGCTATGCATATTCCTCACATTCTTTTCCATACATTCCTAAGGTGCTGACATGGAGAATTTGTTTAACAATCAAGAGCTTTTCTATTCATATGACCTTAGTATGTGAATCAGGGGTGATATTTTAGGGAGAAATTAGATGCTAGTGACTCTTAGGGGTGAAAGGGTTTTAAAATAGTTCCTGTGTTTGCGAGAAAATGAGGAACACACGCGTGAGAGACCAGACCAGACTTATTGTCGCGTGCCTGACTTCTCCCTCGTGTGTGCTGGTCTTAAATCACTTGTTGTCTTGTCCACACTTTACTTCAGGTACACTCGTCAAGTAATAGATGAGACACTTCGTGCTTCAGTACTCGCTCCATGGGGAGCCAGAGTCCACGAGTATGACCTCCAAGTCGGAGAATTTGTTATTCCAAAAGAGGTAAATCCTTTGCAATTTACGGTCTAGCGTTAAGAAGTCTTTCCTGGAATCAAACTTATGAGGAGTTCTTATTTTATAGACCCCCATTCTTCTTCCGTTTGGAGTTGTATTACAAGACCAGAATTTGTGGCCAGAGCCGAAAAGGTAACAGTTATAGCAGACAATGAATTAGAGTTCTCACGTGCTTAGTTAAACTGGCTTTCTGAGCGGGGATCAAAACTTAAACCAAACAAGACTTGTTTACACGCTTTTTCTCGCGCTTTATGGTTTATTTGGTGTCGGATTTTCGACACTCGTTTGAAATGAGCTCCTCACTTCATTCAATTCTCCTGTATCAGGTTTGATCCAGATCGCTTCAGTTCAGAGAACATCAAACAGCTTCCAAGCCTTGCTTACCAGCCGTTTGGATTCGCTGGAAAACGCAAGTGTCCCGGATGGCGGTTCTCGATCGCGGAGGGACTGGTGTTCTTGTCTGTTCTCATAAGACGCTTTAAGTTCCATCTTGTTGAAGGACAGGAAGTGAAACCTGTTTATCGCCTTGTGACGTCACCAGCTGAGGAGGTCTGGGTCACAGTGACTGAGAGATGAATCATTGGTTCAAATGTTTTCTAAAAGCTGACTCTTGTAGCTCGATGATTCGTTGCAGTATATATTTTTAGCAGCGATTGGTCGCCTACTATGTTCGAGCCTCTAACTTGAGGGTTTGTTAACTTGAGCGTAAACGATTTTTCGTGCCGTCGAAGAAAAAATGGGTGGCGAGACTATGATGCACCAAACTCCTGCAAAACACTTACTATACAGGCTAAACATTGGAATGAAATATAATAGATTAATAATAATATTGATGATAATAATAATAATAATAATGATGATGATGGTAATAATAATAATTATAATAATATAAGTAATAGTTATAGTAATGTAGATGACGTTGTTGCTGATGATGATGATGATAGTAACATAACATAACATATTATTGTAGTAATAATAATAAAAATATTTCAAGAAGCCCATTCGCCAAAGAGGTTTTGAGTGGGACCTTCACAAAAAAAAAAGATAAGAAAGATGAAGGCTTAGTTGGTAAATTTAAAGTTAAAGGAGCTATTTTCGCGTAAAACTAACTGCACGTGGATCGAAATTTAAATAATTTCCTTGAGATTTTAATGACGAATAACGAAGCAAATCAATAAATTTTAGAGGCGCATATATGTGAATTTTACTAAAAAACTTGGAAGGTCAACTTGTTGGGAAGAAGAGTTCCAAAGCGAGTAAATATGACAGCGATGATAAAGGGGCAATGAACTTATGCAGTTGGTATCATGTCACAAAGAGATGAAATAAAAAAATTTTGTGCCATGCGAAACGTTAAATATAATGGCCTTGGCTATAGTCTTGACGATAAAGATTTTTGTTAAGGGTTTTTGATGGCTGTGTCCTGAGGAATTCTTGTATTTTACAGCCGAACCTGTATTAAACAGCTTAACTAGTGCATGTCGCTTTTGAGAATCGCATTTCTCGTTACTCCAAGCTGATTCCGTCGCTTTTAAGTGATATATTTCCATTACTTTCGCAAATTTTGCACTTAATTAACATTTGCTACAAATATTGACGAAATTTTGTGGTTTATTTAGGCTAGAATGCTAGCTTAACACGAAAGACTTTATCTGTACCATTTCGTCAAGTTTAAGTACATTTTTCCTTTGCATGGGATGTCTTTCCACAAATCAGCACAATTTATCGCCTTTCGAGTTCACATTGTAAGCATGAATTGACTTTTGTCAGGACCACTTATCGACGAGAATAATAATGAAAAAACCTTTGGAAGTTTTTTTTGTGTGGAATCGAGGAAAGAAGGAGAGAAGCTGCTTGTTGCTTCTGCTAATTAATTTTCGGAAAAACCCCAGTTACGTCTATGATTCCTGACAGCCACGTGTCTGTATTTCAATCAAGCCGCAGCAACGAAGAGTTAGAGGCAACCAAGATTATTTGTATTCTTCCATATTCTAATGTAGCCTTCTCTTAGGTTTCGAGTAAAAAATGACAAAGCTTATGCTTGTCTTTTAAGATGTGTTTTCCTCTGAAGCCATTTTGGCAAGTTTTATTGGTAACATTTTCAAGGTAGGGTGAACGTTTCAACGTTCAATGCCTACTCTCTCTGTCCTAATGTGTCCCTCGCAGAAGGCGGGCCTTTTTTGTAAGGAGTATATGAATTGATAGTAAGAGTTACAGGTAATCTGAAAATCTTTACGAAAACGTGACACAAATGTAGAATTGCTTCCCCAGTTTGTGATGAGTTATCATTCTTGTTCCCTTATGCTGCGCGTACTTTCGCGAGACTCCCGCTCTGCGTGGAGACAGAAAAAAACTGCAATGCATGCTTAGAATTCACTGGAAATTCTCATTCACCAACTTTATTTCGAACCTCTGTTTAAAGTGATATTACAAGATTTTAGATCATCCCAATCGTTTGCATTTACAATCTCCATCCCTGATGTTCATGTAGTCGTAATTTTTGTTTACATCTCCGCACATAAATCCACTCGAGTCGCTGCAGTCCTGGCCTCCAGTGCAGTGTCAAAATTAGTAGTACCAAATTCGATGTTTTACGAAATTAAATGGCTCATTATTGAATGGGTCACAAAATTGAATTACGGGTGGATTATTGCAGTTGGATTGTGTCAAAATTAGTAATATCAAATTGAATGGCTCATTACTGAATGGCTCATTACTGAATGGCTCGTTACTGAATGGCTCGTTATTGGAGTGAATTCGTTAACCTGTTCGTTATATGCTAATGAGAAGAACAACTAAGAACAGCTGTGAACATTTATTCAATTAATCAAAACTGTGATAAAATTTAGAACTTGACTGGTTATCTCCAGTCTGATTTAAGCACTAATGGAACAGTGTCAGTAGATTCTACTTCCTGGTACCACTTTACATAGCGGGTCGATTGTGTCAAAATTTGTTGTACCAAACTGAATGGCTCAACAAACTGAATGGTTCACTGTTGAATGGCTCACAAAATTGAATGGCTCATAATTGAATGTCTCGCCAAATTGAATGGTTCACTAATGAATTTTTACTATTACCATGGTAATAATTGTAGTAAGAATTATAGAGGTTATAATTAGATAATGTATTGGGACGATTGACACGCCGTGCCTATGTACGTGGACAGTAAGCGTCACAAGCGCGCGCTGTTGTCGCTCATTTCGCTGAGTTAGCTGGTTTTTTTTTAAGTGGAAACGTATAACCGATGTCCAATTTCTTTCTTGAATTTTTTCATAGTCTTCCTTAATTGATAACAGGACTTCGTGTCGTCCAATTCTGTCTTTAATCATACTCGTGATTAACAAATGACACTCCTGCTTCGCGATCGTCCGATTTTGTTAGTTCTTTAACCCCCAAGGGTGACTAACATCTAAATTCTCCTTACAACATCTCCCCTGAATCACACATTAGAGTCACAAGAATAAAGAAAATGATCTCCATCCAAAGAAGGCCTTGATCGTTATACAAATTCTTCTTGTCAGCACCTTAGAAAATGTATAGAGAGCAGTGGGGAGAATATGCAAACTGATGTTAGGGTGTAAAGGGTTAATCACTCGTATGATTACAGACCGAATTGGACTCGTCTCAGTCCTATTACACAATTAACCGATGCTGCAAAAGATAATGATTTTCGTCGGCCGGTGGTGACTGTAAAGTCACAAGAATCAGCAAAAAGGCGAGTACAAATTCAAAAGCGCTACACGTTACTTGTTATTATGTAAAGTTGAAGCAGCCATTCACACTAAGTCCACTCAGCTAAATCCACCAATCACAGAATTGACCGCAGTAACCAAGGCGGTAGCCACTCATCCGAAGTGGAGAAACTTTTAACTTTAAACATCGTCTCCACGAGCGACATTTGTTCTAGATGTAATTGTTTTTTCGGAAATTATAATGGTTATGATTAATTGGTAATAGTGATAATTCAATAGTGAACCATTTAATTTGGTTAGCCATTCAGTTTAGTACAACTAATTTTGACACAATCGACCCGCTATTTAAGGCGGTGTGATGAAAAGACAGTACCAGAGAGTAGAATCTACTTACACTGTCATGTTGGTGCTCAGATCAGACTGGAGATAACCAATCACGTTCGAGAATTTTATTCTAGTTTTGATTAATTGAATAAATGTTCACAGCTGTTCTTAGTTGTTCTTCTCATTAGCATATAACGAACAGGTCAACGAATTCATTCTAGTAACGAGCCATTCAATCTGGTAAGCCATTCAATAGTAAGCCATTGCAATTGGTAAGCCATTCAATCATTGGTGTGCCATTCAATCATTGGTCAGCCATTCAATCATTGGTAAGCCATTCAATCATTGGTAAGCCATTCAATCATTGGTTAGTTATTCAATCCTCGGTAAGCTATTCAATCATTGGTAAGCCATTCAATCATTGGGGAGCCATTCAATCTTTGGTGAGCCATTCAATCCTTGGTAAGCTATTCAATCATTGGTGAGCCATTCAACAGTGAACCAGTCAATTTGTTGAGCCATTCAATTTGGTGCGCCATACAGTTTGGTACTACTAATTTTTACATAATCCACCCGCTATATAAGGCGGTGTATTGACAAGACGGTACCAGAAAGTACAATCTACTTGGTTACCAAGAAACATCACATACCACCGACGAGGTAAGAAGTGGAAAAATTATTTCCTGGTTTATTTCTTTATTACACCTTTAGGACAAGCTGGAAAACCAAAATAAATGTACTTTAATATCACTATGTTGGAAAATTACTTGGTCAGCTCCCGTTTTCCAAATTTTGATGCAAAGTTTATACACAAAAGGGCATTCCATTTCAGTCTCACTTTTGATAATAGGAATTTTCCTCTATTTTTCACTGAATTATTTGCCTCTGGCGTAGAATGATCATGACTTTCAAAATGAGAGAATGAAACCACAGGGCTGCCAGTTGTGATCGATTGCCCTAACAGGCAAGACAGGGCGTGCGGTAGGTTCCTGTGACCCGCACACACACTGTACACAACCCAAAGATCATCTACAGAGAAACTGTCCTGCGTGGCGAAATATATAAGAAAACAATTGTAACGAATAATAAACTTAAAGCACTTCTTTTAGTTGTCAATGAATACCATCGTTTCTTTTTTCAGTTAAATTTTAATTGCACTATCAACCTGTTCGTCTTCAATTGCGTTGCGTTGTGTAACGATAGGATTTTTAGTTATCGAGTTCTTTCATGCTTACGCTTCAAAATATAATATTCAACGTAGAAAGCTTAGTTCAGCAAAGTGTAAACACTACCAGTTCTCCTTCAGTCACCCGTAAACAGTTGTTGTTAGTGTTAAACCGTAACAGCCAACTGTCATGTCCTTTTGTGTAACTGTTATCCACCGGAACTCTTTAAAAGTAATTAATGTTGCAAAAGGCGAAATTCCTACTTAGCCAATAGTTTAGTAGATTACATGATCCTTTAGATTATTCATGACATTACGTTATCCATGTACGTTAGGCTTAAATAGGACTGTTCTGAAAAGCTTAGCGGTTAGGTTAAGAAGAGAAAGAAAGGTGAGGAAAGTTAGGAAGAGAACGGGGTTGAACCAGCCCTGGCCAGGTCCGTTCTGGTCAAAATTGTAGTAGAGCTTGCAGAATAAATCTACGTTGGAGCCAACCCTGTTGTCGTTAGTCATTCTCTCAAGGATAGTCAGCAACCGTAATAGATTCCGGTTACCTTCCCGCAGCCAGCGAGTGCCCCCAAGGAAAGCCTTTACCCAGAAGAGTTTTTAAGAGTTGTCCCCGTCCGTCCGTTCATTTGTGAAGGCAAAACCCTGTTTTCACACTGGTAGAGGAGAGCGGCAATTACGGAAAGACTATCAGAGAGAGAAGTGCTTCACGAAGAGTTGGTTTGACCCCTTGGAGCGAACAAGAAAGAAGACGCCCAAGTAAGTGGAATTACATAGCAAAACAGAAAGAGAAAAAAAATCACACAACAAAAACGAAGCAAGAAAGAGAGAGACCGTTACCCATTTCATGTCGAGGTTTTTCAGAAAGAAAACAAACCCATATAATTTGAGAAGTAAAGGAAAATTACGTGGGGAAAACACGCCACCTACGAGAGTGGACGCCTGTGTTGAGACCGATTTACCATTCGACGAAAGTGACATAGCCACGGAAGTAAGGCAGGGACCGACCGCCGAAAAAGACACTGATTCTGAGCCATTAGAAAACCATCAAAGAGACTCTGACAAGTTTAACAAGACCAACTTGGAACTTGTAGATATCAGCGAAGTTTCTACTAGCGAATACAGTTCTGACAGTTTGGCGCCACCGTGCCTTGGTAATACTCAGGATACTGAGGAAATAAACACTTTAACAGAAGAAATAGACATTTTCCAGGAAGAGGAAAGTTTTACAGATACCGCCCTTGCGACAGGTGGACAACAGGTACCAGAGAGTACATTACACCTCGTTGATCATACGTCATTCACGCCACCT